TGAATTAGATGGAAGTTTAACTAGAAATAATAAACGTTATTTTATCACTTTTATTGACGATTGCTCTGATTATACTTATGTATATCTAATGAAGAATAAAAGTGAAGCGCTTGACATGTTCAAGGTGTATGTAACTGAAATTGAGAATCAATTTAACAAGAAGATTAAGAGACTTCGCAGTGATAGGGGAACCGAATATGACTCCAGCTTGTTTAATGAATTTTATGCTGAACATGGTATTATACATGAAACGACTGCTCCATACTCTCCTGAAATGAATGGTAAAGCAGAAAGAAAGAATAGGACTCTTACTGAACTTGTAGTTGCAATCATGTTGAATTCTGGTGCTGCACCTCACTGGTGGGGGGAAATTTTATTGACTGTTTGCTATGTCCTGAATAAAGTTCCCAAGTCAAAAAGTAAGATCTCACCCTATGAGATATTAAAGAAAAGACAACCAAATTTGTCTTATTTAAGAACTTGGGGCTGTCTGGCTTATGTCAGAATTCCGGATCCGAAACGAGTTAAACTCGCTAGTAGAGCCTATGAATGCGTTTTCATTGAGTATGCAGCAAATAGTAAGGCATACAGGTTTTATGACCTAACTGCCAGAGTAATTATAGAATCAAACGATGTTGAATTCTTTGAAGACAAATTTTCTTTCAAATCGAGAAATAGTGGGGGCACACAATTGAGTCACATTCCTGTGATAAAAGGCACTGAAAGCAGCGACAATGTAGAAACAGAGCTTCGAAGAAGTAAAAGAGCAAGAGTTGCTAAAGACTATGGGCCCGATTATGCGGCCTATAATGTAGAAGAAGATCCAATAAATCTTCAAGAAGCACTGTCATCTATGGATGCAGACTTATGGCAAGAAGCCATTAATGATGAGATAGATTCTCTAGAATCTAACAAGACCTGACACTTAGTAAACTTACCTCCGGGTTGCAAACCAATTGGTTGTAAATGGGTTTTGAAAAAGAAACTAAAACTTGATGGAACGATTGAGAAATACAAGGCTCGCCTTGTAGCCAAGGGTTTTAGACAAAGAGAAAATATAGATTTCTTCGACACCTTTTCTCCGGTCACTAGAATTACATCCATTAGGGTACCCATTTCAATAGCAGCCATTTATAACTTAATAGTATACCAAATGGATGTTAAAACAACTTTTTTAAACGGTGACTTAGAAGAAGAAATCTATATGGAACAACCAGAAGGATTTGTAATCCAAGGACAAGAAAGCAAGGTCTGTAAGTTAGATAAGTCTCTGTATGGACTAAAACAAGCCCCTAAACAATGGCATGAAAAGTTTGATAACCTAATGATAATTAATGGGTACAAAGTGAATGAAAGTGACAAGTGCGTCTATTACAAATTTGAGAATCGCATTTGTACTATCATATGTCTATATGTAGACCATCTACTTATATTTGGATCAAACATTCAGGCCATTAATGATATGAAATCATTGTTATGCAATAACTTTAATATGAAAGACCTCGGAGAAGCAAGCGTGATCCTGGGTATCAAGATCACGAGATCCGAACAAGGAATTTCTTTGGATCAATCTCACTATGTGGAGAAGATCTTAAAGAAATATAAATACTTTGATTGTAAACCTGCATGCACTCCGTATGATCCAAGTGTGAAACTATTTAAGAACACTGGAGAGAGTGTCAAACAAGCAGAATATGCGAGCATCATTGGCAGTCTTAGGTATGCCACTGATTGTACTAGACCCGACATTGCATATGTCGTAGGACTGTTGTGCAGATTTACAAGTAGGCCGAGTAATGAACATTGGCAAGCTATTGAGCGAGTAATGAGGTACCTTAAAAGGACTATGGACCTCAGCCTACACTATCAGAAATTTCCTGTTGTACTAGAAGGGTATAGTGATGCAGATTGGAACACCTTATCAGATGATTCCAAAGCTACTAGTGGTTATATATTTAGTATAGCCGGAGGAGCTGTATCTTGGAAATCAAAGAAACAGACCATTCTGGCACAGTCCACAATGGAGTATGAGATGATAGCATTAGCTACAGCGAGTGAAGAAGCAAGTTGGTTAAGATGCTTGCTAGCTGAGATTCCTTTATGGAAAAAACCTATACCAGCTGTGCTGATCCACTGCGATAGTACCGCGGCTATTGCAAAAGTTGAGAGCCGTTATTATAATGGTAAAAGACGTCAAATTAGAAGAAAACATAGCACTGTTAGAGACTGTATCTCTAAAGGAGCTGTGAGAGTGGATCATGTACGCACTGATGAGAACTTAGCAGATCCTTTGACGAAAGGATTAGCTAGAGAGAAAGTCCATAATACTTCCAAAAAGATGGGACTAATGCCTATAAAGTAATTTGTTACTCATGATGGTAACCCGACCTAAATGACTGGAGATCCCAAGACTTAGGTTCAATGGGTAATAACAAGTTATGAGTAATATGAAAATGATCATGAAAGTAAAGCATGAATCCTGAAGTAATGAGATGATGAGATAATAGAAACTCTTAATGAGATCTATACTCTATATGAGGGAGTACCTAGGCTACAGGAGTACTCTTGATAGATTCACCTATGTGACTGTGGAACTGAGGCCGGTTTCTATGGAATTTCGAGGCAGAATTCCTAGAGCATTCACTAAACCGGGATACACGTGCAGGGCCACTAAAGCACGGGCTACAAGAATACACCTTACGAAAAGGTTGTCTGCGGGTCTGATGTCCGAGATAGAGTTCAAGACAATGGTGTCACTCTTGTTGAATCAGAATCCTACTCGCTACGCTAAGGTTCAAGTCGTAGACACCTTTGCTTATGCTCAACCTTAGAAACGTCTGACGTACTTCTAAAATCTCTTTTAAATTCAAGTGGGGGAATGTTGGAACTTTAATTAATTAATGTTGGAACATAAATTAGTTAGAGTGGGAATTGGAAACATTTGTTGACAATTAATGAGCAATAAATGAACACAAGTGAGAACTAATATAGAAGTGAATTTGAAAAGATTCATTTTAGTCTCACATTGAAGGGAATGGAAATATTAGTAGTGTTTATATATTCCAACTTTGTCTATTGGGTTGGGCCCTAAAGGGCACCCAATTTTGTGAAAGGAGTGAGGACACACCCATGACCAACAAGACACACGCGCGCGCGCCGCCGCCGCCGTCCGTCCGGCCGGCTCGGCTCGGTTCGGTCCGGTCCGGTCCGGTCTAGATGAATTGTTTTTTGGACCCGAATTTATATAATTTAATTATCATTAATTAATTAATATAATTCGGTGGAAAATTAATTAATAATAAATATTAATTAATTAAGAAAATAATTGGTCAGTAACTGCCAGATCCAGTCCTCCACGAATTTCTCAGTCTCCCACCATTTTCTCCACTCCCCACGAATTTCTCAGTCTCCCACCATTTTCTCCACTCACCACAAATTTCTCCCCACTCAGGTGCAGTTTGCTGCCTATAAATACAGGGTAGAAATTCAGAAGTGAGTACATCGGATTTCACAAATTCACACGAATTTTGATTTCCCTCTTCTCTTTCTCATTTCTCTTCATCTCAAAAACTCTCTTTTCTTGACTGGTTATTTTCACCAGATACTTTGACAGGTGTATTTCTAGAGCGATTTATCAGTGTGCAACTGATAATCGTAAGTTGCGTAAGTTGTTTGAACGGACTGTTTTATCCTGCGTGAGCGATTTATCAGTGTGCAACTGATAATCGTAAGTTGCGTAAGTTGTTTGAACGGACTGTTTTATCCTGCGTAAGTTGTTTGAACGGGTTGTTTTATCCTGTAGGCGTCGTCGTAAATTCGACTGCTTTGCATAATTTGGCAGTACGGCGAAACATCTTAAAGAAAGCAACCTAATACGCGACTCGTCCCGATAATTTCCTTGTGTCAAACTCTAATTTTTTCAAATCCGAAAGCAACAATAAGGGTGTGTAAGGTGGCTAAATATGTCCCTTACTCATTATGTCACTATTAAACTAAAAACATTACTTAGAATCTTCCACACAAAAAATGATACACATTACTTAGAATCTTCAACCAAAAAACGATTGTTTGATGAAGAAAATGTCATATGATTTGTGTTTTTTAATTAAAAATAAACAAAATTGAAGAGTTTCCTATGATGTTTGCCCGATAGGGTTATTTCAGAAGACTTTTTCTCACGCCAATGTGTTTTACTTATTTGAACTCCTTTATCTCTATCTCTATGTTTTTGGTCTAATCCATGATTTTACAATATTTCAAAAGAAACTTACCAGTTCACCTCAATTTCTCCAGAAAGCAAAAGAATCCATTACTAATCTGTAAATTAATGAAAAATGAAGAAGTGAAAATCAATAGGAACAATCAGGATAGTAACAGCACCTGGAAACATTATGGTCAAAGAATTATCTCTTTTGTGAAGGACATCAAGTTCTTCCAAATAGAAGATTCCTCCACCTCAACAATTTGATAACTCTCATGTCCCATTACTAGAGTAAGTTTTTTCCATTTGCTTACTTTACAACATTAAGGACAGGGCTACCCTTTCCTTGATTGTTGCTCCTTGAGTTTCATCATTATTGTTTTTTACACTCAGAATCAAAATTCCTCAAAATATTTCAACTTCACAAGTTCATTCTTCTCATTTATCTCCTTGAAGTTGAAATCCGATTCTGCTCTTAAGATAAAATAGTAGCAGCATGTCTCTAACACTAGTTATGTACAATAGAACTAATAGAAGCTTTGGTCAAATGTAACAAAATGTCAAGGAATCATTAAGCAAAATTTATCATGAAGCTATCAGAAATATCATACAGTAGAATTCAAACAAACAAATATTCCACCCTGTTTTTTACATTGCCATCATTAGACAAATCAATAACAACAACTAAAACTAATTGTCACCAAAAGTACTTTATTTCTTTTTTATACCCAAAATGACTTCAGAATTTGAGTCTTAAAACTTTGACATTTCACCCCAAAATAGACCAACAGATTGGACTCTAGTGATAACCAATTGGAGCAGCAGCCTCTCTTAACTCTCTCCCCTGGTAATGTATATCCTGCAATTCATTACATTACAATACAATCAGAACTCTTCAATCTCAGCCGACATAACATAATCACATGAAGCATAAAAAACTTATAGATATAAGAAGATATCGAGACGAATAACTTACTGATGCAAAGTGGTTGACATCGCGATGATGCGCTTCATCGGCTCTAACAACCATAACAACATCCCTCAAAGTAGAGTTTGGTGGAAGCTGCCAATAGTCAACAGCAATAGCTGGAGCAGGAACATTTTCTATATTCCCTTTATCAAGCTCCTTGAGAAACTCAGTATAAGAATGAATAGCTTCTTCCTCAAGGTAACCAACCATACGGTGAGCAAATTTTGGCGACACCAAATATCCCAAGAAATAAGCATTAAAGAAAACACCTTGCACGGTTATGACAAGAGCACGCTCATACCACTTTGGTTTCGCAATTTCCATGAATGTCATTAGATGCATCCGTTCGTTCTCGGCTTCTTCTAGCAACGCTTTGATCCATCCACCACTGTGCTCAAATCGGCGCAACGATTTGCAGTGAAGTAGCATTCCTCCCACCATGCCAGGAACAGCTGCCACTGTCTCAAGCATCATTGCTCGGCATCCATACCGTCTCTGGAAAAAGAGATCTGTAGGGTACCTAAGACTCTTAACAGTCCAATAAGCCATTTTGTCGAGAAAATTTGTTGGTGCATGATGCTTATTCAGATCAATTGTAACATCTGCTTTGTATGTCTCCCATGGCTAGAGTTACAAAAATCCAAATCAATAAAAAAAAAAAACATATATATAGAAAACATTGGTAAATAAATATATGTAGTAAGATACATAACATACCCTGAAGCAATTCCACTTCCATTCAGTACCATCTTGTTTTATGATCTTTGAGGGTTGAACACCCCAATAACTCATTATTCCTTTTTCATCTTTGTTCCCACCATTAGCACCAACACTACCTTGAGAAGAACTAGTCTTCTCTTTCTGATCTGACAAATTGGCAGCAAAAGTGCTTCCATTCCTGATAACCAAAGAACCCCATTTGTTTGGAGCAACAACTTCAGCACCTAGTAAACCTTTCTTTGCCAACAACGTTGCAGTGTTCATAGCACCACTACCACCATGCCTCATCATCATCATCGAACCAAAACTATGAAATCTAGCAGAAAGAAAGAATGGTTTTTGTTTTGTATTTTTGGTTTAGTTTTCTTGTGGAGAACGAAAGGGTTTAAGGGTCTATATATATTTACGTTAGGCTTCACGTGTCTTGTTGGCATCTTAAACTGTCCATGTTAAAATATACCGTTCCAATTTTCTTTTTTTAATTTGCTTTTTATTGTTACATTATTAAAATATTTTCTAATGCATAAAATTTAATATATGTGGCAACTAGATATAAAGATATTACAAATAAGAATCAAAATTTTATACACCTTCTTATATTTAATTATTTATTTACCTTTTTAATTAATTTAATTCAGGCAATTTGTGTTTTATATATGTACTGTACTATCAAATTTGATGAACCTTACATGTCGTATCAATGCAGATTTTTTTGGAGTACTACTACTAGTACTTCATAACAGCCATAATTAATTATTTATTAGTTACCATTGAAAAAAAGTTTGGTATTAAATGATTACTATGAAAAGCGGTTTGGTATTCCTTGGAGACCAAGTTCGTTGGATTTTTCGTGTTGTTCAAGTCAAAACCTCTGTGGATACTTGAGAATAATAGAAAGTTCGAAACCGACTTGTAAGAATATGGTGGATATTACAAAATCGTAGTACGTGTTTGAACCACTATTTTGTAAACATACTGGAAAATATCATAATCTTAAATTTTCTCATCAGATCAACTAACAATTTATAATATATAAATAATATATTATTATGAAAAGCAATGAAATAATATATTAAAATATTTTTAGACTATTAATTAATGAGAAACGTGAATTCTATCACGTATATTCTATCATATTATACTTTTATTTTTAAAATATTATTATAATTTGATACTGTAAAATATTTTGATTAAATTGTGTGTAACACACAGATACGATACTATCTTTAAATTAATAAAAAAGATAAAATATCATATTAAATTATTTGACTTAATATGAAAGAAGTTAAATGTGATGAAATTTATTCTATCTAATACTCATTTTTTATTCTATTTAAAATAAAATGTATTCAATAGCTAGAATAAAATTATAATTTGTCTATAAATATTTACTTATATTAACTCTATTAATGCTTTTGAAATAAATTGTAAAAATAAAATAAAAGATTATAATACTTTCTACTCCGTTAAATTTCTACTTTGTAAAATATCCAAATAATAAAATAAATTTTATGTTCGTACTATTCCCTTCCATTTCATTGATTTTAAAATTTTCAAACAAACACCAAGTTGAACGGAAGAAAAAAAATTGTATTATTGTAAAGTTATTTTGTATTGCAATATAGATAGTATTTATAAGACATAAGTGTATCTCTAAATATTAATTATTGCATTTTATTCATAGAAGTTAAGAAATATAAAAGGAGTAAAGATCAATCTTTAATATTATTCATAACACGTCTAACTTCATTAAAACTTTATTAAAAATAATAAAGTAGGAAAAATCCTAATGGGACAACATGTTTTGTGAGGAAAATCTCTTGCTAAAAATCTTATCTGGAAAATCCCTAATGGGACAACTTTTTTTTTGGGGGAAATCTCTTGTAAAACACTTACTAAAAAATTCAATGAGACAAAATTGTAGTGAAAGGAAAAAGAATGCATAATATATTTAATTCTTTCCTTTATATTTATACTTGAAGATGAAAATTATTACTAGTGACTTGAAAATAGGGTTGACAATGAATCGAACTAACTCAAAAATAGTTCGTAATTCGATTCGATAATTAAATCGTTGAACTGGGTTCATGAACCAAATGAGTTGAGTATGAGCGAAAAATTAAGTTCGTTAATTAAATGAGCTGAACTTGAACTATATATAGTTCGACTCGTTAAGTTCATGAGTAAACTCAATTACATATGAGAAGAATTATATTGTATTTAAGATTAAGTTTAAATATTTACTCTAAATCTTACACAAATTTAATCTTCAATTTAGTATTTTTTTGAATTAGACTCTCAAATGTATCTCTTGAAAGTTGTGTAGATTTTGAAGATAAAGTTAAATTTCAATATGATAACTTTTATTTTATTTAAAAAATATATATTTATTTAAAATGTCAAATATACTAATATATATATATATATATATATATATATATATATATATATATATATATATATATATATATATATATATATATATATATATATATATATATATATATATATATATATATATATATATATATATATATATATATATATATATATATATATAAAATTAAAAAAAATAGTTTTAAGTCCGTGAATCTTGTGAGCTGAACCTAATGAGATGAACCTAACGAGTTGAACCGAACTGTTCGTGAACTTATAACGAGTCGAGTTTGAGCTTAAAAAAAATTCGTGTCGAACTCGAACCAATTCTTAACGAGTCGAGCCGAGCTGAAGTGAGTTCGACTCGACTCGACTCATTTCCAGCCCTACTTAAAAACTATGATTCAGTGGATGACTTTCTAAATTATTTGTCGTCCCATTTATAATATTATTGTTCAAAATAGAATAGATTTTGGTGTAAGGATTTTAAAAAGATCTAACATATTAAAAAATATCTCACAGGGTGTGAGGGAACTATATGTATCTTTGGTTGATAAGGAGAACTAGTATAATTACTTGTGTCATTTTATTTTCTGCATTACATCATTCTAAATAAAGCACAATACATCACTTGTTTCTAAAAAAGTAAAAAAGGAACTTGCATAAAATACAAGAAAAATCCAGCAAGTTTATTAACCCCTTTTTAGATGCACTCTATACTCACAAACAACAATATTCTTTTGTAAGAATTAATGTAAGATACATTTATTTCTTCCTTCAATTGAATAATCATCTTTTCAAATGAGGACCTATCATTTATACTAGTTGATTAAAAGTTCTACTTGAAAGTGAATTCATATATGGGTACAAGTTTTACATGATTTAATGTTGTTATAAGTTGTTTCGCAAATCTTGATGAAATGTTCGTACCACCATAAACAAACAAGTAGCATGTTTGTGATATATCATTATGAGGATTTGACAAATAACTTGTAACTCTAAGGTAACAAAGTAAATGCCTCACTTCATCCGAATGTCTTTGTGTAGATGAAGAAATATATATTGCTGATAGATTGACATAAATCAATATATCATTGTGTGTATAATTATCAATATACATGGTGCTTTAATTGCACTAAGATGTAATATTTTAGGACACCAAGTAATTTTTCATTCTCTTCTCAAGGCCTGAAAGGATCTTCTCCATATTCAATGATCTAATAATTATTGGGATAGACAAAAGATGATATATGTTCATATATAAATATTTTATCACTTTTTTCTATATAAGTTTTTTGGTGTACAAAAATTTTATTGTTCAAATGTTCAATTAGTAATCCTAGACAAAACATTATATTTTCCAAGTCACTCATCTTACTATTTCTTTAAGTAATTTATAGCTTTTAAAATATCTTTTATGTTGATGTATAATCCAAATCCAAATTTAAGATGCACTTAGATTTTAAATTTGAGTTTCATTTAGTTGTTCTGATGGTATAAATACTGAACTCAAATTTCAGCTGTAATAGAACATTATAACCATTTTCAGTTGAAAGGGAAAGTTAGTTAGAATTCTATCTCTTCCATCATCTTCATCTTCTTCATTCTTGTGCACCAAAAGTTGGTATCTAGAGTTCTGGTTCTGATTTAGGAAAGAGAAATACGAGTGTACGTCAGGCATGTGTGATTGATTGTGTTCACTCAATTCACAATGAATTAAAGATCTGAATCGAAACAAAAACATATTTTTGGATTCCAAGGGATTAGGAAACACGAGTGTTAGTGAGATTAGAGTGAATTTTCACAAGAACGAAGATGAATACTGGAAACGGTAGCTTGAACACAAAGCTTCCCGTATTTTATGGAAAGAATTGGAATCGATGGATGATTCAAATGCATGTGCTGTTTGGAGCTCAAGATGTTCTTGATCTTGTCAATGACGGTTACAAGGAAGTTGTAGCATATGCAACGGAATTGAAAACAAAGAGCAAAGAGAAACGAGAAAAAAGGATCATAAGATGTTGTTATATATCTATCAGTGTGTGAATACGAATGTTTTTTAGAAGATCATTGATTCACGACGGTGAAGGTTGTCTGGAACACAGTGGTACGGTGTTACGACAGTGATGCATCAGGGAAGAAGGTGAAACTTTAGTCTCTATGTAAGCAGTATGAGTATCTCCACATGAAGAACAATGAAAAGGTACTTGATTATATCTTCAGAGTGATTATGATCACAAATGAGATGAAATCTTGTGGATAAACTCTCTCTGAACAAGTAATCATTGAAAAGGTACTAAGATCACTTACTCCTCGGTTTGATTACATTGTTGTAGTAATTGAACACTCTATGTACCTCATCACCATGAGAATTGAAGAGTTGTGGAGTAGTCTAGAGGCACAATATTTGCGTCTGACTAAAAGAAGCTCTGAAAGAGAGGTAGAGCAGGCTCTAAAAGCATCTTTTGCTAAGAAGAATTAGAAGCAACCTTGGTCAGAGGCCAAGAAGATACATAGTGGTAGTTATCAGAAGAAGTCTCCAACTATGATGAGAAGAAACATCATAAGGACAAGAAGAAGGTTCAATGCTACTATTGTAAGAAGTTTGGTCACTTTGTTGCTGACTATTGGTCAAACAAGGAAAGGAAACCAGAAGAAGAAAACATAGCATAGAAGATTCTGATGATGAACCCGTGCTATTGAGGGATTCTAAATCTGATGATGGATATTTGGTAGATTGGTGGTATATAGACACTAGCTGCTCAAATCACTTAACTAGAAACAAACAATGGTTGTGCCAAAGTCAGAGTGAAGAATGGAAAAATGTTCTGATTATGGATGTTTGGTATGTTCCTGGCATGAAGAGAAATCTGATGAGTGTAGGTCAGCTAATTGAGAAAAGTTTCTCATTTACTATGAAG